TCACCGCAACCGAGCTTACTACCGTTGCAGTCAATTCAATACTATTCAATTTTATTTTCCAATCTTACAGCAGAGTCGGTGGTGTTGTACATAAAAGCGACCCAAGGGCAGCTTGAGGAGTGCTCAAAACTGATATCAAGCAGGAAGGTGGTAGTAGAGCTTATACTTGAAATCACAGAGATTGCCCGGATTGCGGGAAAGAATTCTGTACTTATGCCACATGCTCTGGCACTGCCCTGTGTGACAGCTAAGGCTTCAACAACAGCGAAAACTACGAGAAGGCCATCGCGTCCTCGAAACTGAAAGACCAGCCCAACGTTGTCCAGAGGACCCGTGAGCGAGTGGAGAGGCGTCGCCTCCCGGCTCCAACATGGGATTAACTGACAGCAAGGCTGGGGTCTTTTCTACGACAGCGCTGGCTGGCTATTCGGGATCTTATTAGTGTTCCTTGCCTGTCTGTCTGTACACAAATGAAACACCAAGAAATACACAAAACAACATTACACATCGATTAAACAATTTAAGGAATGCTATTTAAATACCTAATATGAATTTTGTTCACGTGAACAACAAAACAATCAAATGAACGAGATTAGAGTGATTAAGGATTGGGAGACGGTAGAACACAATGAAGGCGTTCATTGCAGCACGCAACAACACTGCCTTAGCTCCACCTCTGTGTCTCTCATACGCACACACGAATCTTCATCCTTCCTTCAGTTACGGCATCGTGTACCAGCCCAACACACGGCAGGGCCTCCAAGGGAGAAGCCACCCAGGAAGCGTCGGCGGCGCGTTGCAAAATTCGTTGCGGTCGCCCACCTCCCGTCTCTCTCATCTTAACATTTTTTTTCTCCAAGCATCATACGGAGGTCACTACCGCCATAGGTACGCCGACAGAAACCCGACTCGCGCAACAAAACGCGGCTTCCACACCGTCCCCCCTCACCGAAACAACTTGTTGCCTGCTTGATATATAACAAACAAGCGAGTAAACAAACACTCAACAGCAAGGGCATCGCGCATAGTATCTTCATGGCGAACAATGAGTGATACACCCGAGGACCAGGCGAAGAAGCGCCGGACAGGCCTACACAAGAGCCACAAACTTCGTGTTTGTGCGTTTTGTTATCGAGGAAGGTGAGACGTAACATGTAACGCTGCTTGAAGCGTCGCCCTCTGCTACACGATCGAACAAACACGGAAACATCGACCACCGATAGACTCGAAGTTCCCGCGGTGGTCAGTCGTCCCCCAGGGCAAACGCCTTCTCGGAGAATGTATGCGCTGCATGCATCGCGTGACGGTGCCATGCAAGAGGTATGTAGGGGGGAAATAAAGTGGCGTGCGGCAGATGCGAGCCAGTACTCGCCCCGCGCCGACCTGGCGGCGCCCCGCCGCCGAAGGGCCACGCCACATTAAGCGTCCACCACCGCGACATATCGACGTAACATCCGTGGATGTAACAACCTTCCTTTGGGGTTGAAAGGAAAACGGCGCGAAAGATGTTTACATAGCGCAGTGTGGCCGCGTGGGATCATGTAACCTACTATATATATACTGAGCACTGCGCGTGACGGTGAATGAGGGAAACAGTCGTAAGTCGGGGCTTCGGGCTCTATACACTGCTGTGCAGGAAAAGAAAGGGACTGTTGTCACTGAATGTACATCTGGACGTGTGCTCGTAGGTGATACAGAGAACAAAAAACAGAAATTCATGCCGAGATTTCTTGCATGCTTCAAAGTCAGCAGTCTTTAACATCGTCTACGACTCAACGCGGCTATCCGGTATCACGTATTTAATTAGTATTTCGAGTATTTGCACATTATAAATTGGTTCATATGTAGCGCCAGCTTCCGAGCAGTGGCAGATATTGAGCCAATGCCACTGGTGACTGCCCACTGGAAAAATAAGATGAGTAAATTTCTCCAAACTGTAGAAGCTCGCGCATTATAACATAAAACGACCGTAGTATACGGGTTATGGCTGTAGCCTGCTGTACTCTGCTGTAAAGCTGTGGTCTGCTGAAAGGCTGACAGCGAATCTTTTTTTTTTTTTTTTGATGGGTGCAGCTGTTTGGTTAAATCTCACGTGAACGTTTCGTATTCTCACCACTTCTACAACTCTATTTATGTTAATATTTTTATCCTGAATTGTTTTGATTTGAAGAGCCATTCTCTCGGGAGCTCTCTCACCTATCCGGATCACCGTGTCTTTTTGCGCAAAGGTGTTGACCACAAAGCTACTCTCAACGTAACAATAAGGTTAGGCGAGCTGTACGAATTTCCCCAGTTAACGAACTCATGAAGGCTCTTATAGATTCTAGTGTCTACGCTACTGTCCAATTGAACTCTCCCTCTGTTTGTGCTCCTTAACTGCGAAGCATTTCTTGTTGAAGTGCGACATTAAGCGCATCTATCTATCTATCTATCTATCTATCTATCTATCTATCTATCTATCTATCTATCTATCTATCTATCTATCTATCTATCTATCTATCTATCTATCTATCTATCTATCTATCTATCTATCTATCTATCTATCTATCTATCTATCTATCTATCTATCTATCTATCTATCTATCTATCTATCTATCTATTTATCTCCGCTTACGACTATCCTAGCCGTTTCGCTAACGGAATGTATGCCAAGATTGTATGATATGACATGACCGTATGCCGAACATGAATGACAAGTCATGGCATAAAATTCATCACATGCCTTTACTGAATGGTACAACTTACGTCCGTACTACTAAGCAGGAACAAAACAGAGACAACACAGAAAAATAAATACCTAGCACAGCCTATTGGTGGCATCAATCTTTCGACTCTTTTAAGTGAACAATGTTTTATTCAATATACGCACAATAAAAAAGTTGCGTTTCGCATGACATCTTCTCTGTCGTCCGTATGTGTGTGTGTGCTTTTTTGCGTATTTACTCAGGAGGGGGGGGGGGGAGTGATTTTAAAAAGTGAAAAGAAGAAAAAGTAAGCTCCGTAACTGTCTGCATCTTAGTGCGACACCTCAACAGTAGCTCACGAGATATGGGAATGAGGAGGAATTAAAATGATAGGGAGGATTAAAAGGTAGAGGGATAAAGATAGAGAAGGGACAGATAGACCTACATACAGAAATAAGAAGATGTGAAAGATGGACACGGTTGCAGGAGTTCGAGGATGGTGCAACACTCAGTGAGAGCTCATGTCGGCGTCAGGAGATGGCGTAGGGGGAGCTAGTCGACCAGAGCTGCGCTGTGGGCCAGATCGCGGGGGCACAACCGGTCGTCACGAAATCCAGCGAGCGAGTAACATGCCCCAATGCTGCTCTGACTTGGATACCTTACGAGCGACGGTCCTGGTGTTTTTGGTGCTGCTCCGTTAATTTCGATATATACCATAATTGGTATGGCGTAACAAGAATGCAAGGCGAACATGTCACTGGCCGTACGTGCATATTATGACGAAAACCATGTCATATACATAACATGGTTTCAGGGTGCCCGCGCTGTTTAATTTAATGAATATATATGAAAATTGGTAACTCGAGACATTTGTGGGACGAACGCAACATAAAGGTGGTGAAATTAAAATAAAAATCTTCATGTCATGCACGGCAGGACATAGATGCCACGTTCGTGATGCACTCGCAGCAGCTTCGCTGGTTTGGCATTCAGCAAATTGGGTAATGTATGATTTCACTATATGACGAACGTTTATGACACGTGGTAATGGGAACATCATGACGCACATGCTATGTGCTGCATGGCCTACCCGCCACGCTCATGGTGTACTCGTGGCCGTCTCGCGGGCTCGATTTGCCCCAAAGTTGTTATGGTGTGACACGGTTGTATGAGGAACAAAAATGACAAAAATAACATACAAATCATGACAGGCATATCATAAACGCCATAATTTTCATGACACTGTCTTAGTGTGCTTCCGATCATAACTCGTGGCACGGCGTGAGTGCGTAATGAGCATAAATGACAGTTCATTGTGTTGTATATATAAAAATATACGCTTCAGTAGCATGGCATAATGCCAGATTGAACACTCCCGCACACATGACAAGCATGTGGCAATAGACTACATGTCATAAAATGAATGATTTCATTTGCCTCAAAGTATAACATGTCAATTTGTGCCACTCCTTGCTGAGTATTTTGCATTCTATCGATTTCGATAGCGCGTGGTGTCCGCCAGATTTCTTTTTCCTTTTTGCTATTTCTTCCAATTTTTCCTACTATTTGCCCATGCTGGATATTCAGTCGTAGGGGTCTTTTGGTAGCTTTCCTGCATTTTGTTGTTTCGTTATTGTTTAAAATTCCGTTTCGCAGAGGCACGCTCCGTATCCACTCTGTCGCTGAGCAGCCTACGTGACGTATTCGTATCATTGCCTATGTTGCTGTACCAGGTTCACCTGTTTTTTTTTTTCTGTCTTCATTACTACGGGTATTTTTCCTTCAGTTTTTCAAATGATTACACAATAATCTTGTTCATTATTTCTTACCGTGTTTGCTTACTGTTTCTGCTGTTCTGTTCATGCATTAGGTATAGGGCATGCCTTGAACTGCTGTAACAGCTCAGTGTGTGAGGTGGCCAGGCTCTCCTCAAGCTGCTCAGCGCAGCATTTTCGCCTGGTCCCCTCGCAACCTTGTTGCGCAATAAACTTAATTCTATTGAATTCAATCACATTCTTCAAAGTTATTTACAACTGGAAAATGCTCGAATTGCTTTTTGCTGATTGTTACTTTCATTACTGGGCGTTGCCTTTAAATCTGCTGCAAGGTGTCAGTCAACGTTGCCGATGCGCCGGTGGATATACCAGGGCTATCGAAGTTCCTGGCAACACTCCATGGCCTTCCCTGTGCTCCACGCAAAGATTAGAAACTCGATGAGGTTGTCGCGCTCGTCGCGCTATCTGTCGTACAACAGCTCAACACCACTCTGCCTGTTCGGGCGATAAAGATTATGTCGTCGACTCGGTGCGAGATAGCGTTAACAGCGTAGCGGGCACCTGGACCTCAGTGCCTTTCCCTCGCCGGCGGGGCTCGCAGGCTGACACCATGGATCTGCTCGGCTCGCTCAAGTCCTACTTCACCACCAAGTATGTCATCACCGACAACCTCATGTGTCGCCTTCACCACAAGGCGTCTGTGGGTGTGCTGCTGGCGTTCAGCATACTCGTTACCGGCAAGCAATACGTGGGTGATCCTATCGACTGCATCAGCAAGGACTCGGTGCCTGGGAACTTGTTAGACACCTACTGCTGGATACACAAAACATTCAGTGTGGCCACGGCTTGGCACGGAAAACTGGGTGACGATGTGGCCTACCCTGGAGTGGCCCCTCACACCGAAGGCGACCCCAAAGTGTACCACGGTTACTACCAGTGGGTCTGCTTCGTGCTTACGCTACAAGCGCTATTCTTCTATGTGCCTCGCTACCTCTGGAAGACGATCGAGGGCCGTCGCGTTCAGAGCCTCACTGAGCAGCTGTCTTCTCCCATGCAAGACAAAGCTACCCTGGAAAAAGCCCGAGGCATGGTCATTGACTATCTTGTTAACAACCGTGGTTACCACGGAGGCTACTTCTTTGGGTTCGTGTTCACCGAGATGCTCTATTTCGTTAACGTCGTGGCGCAGATCTTTGTCATGGACAGGTTCCTGGGTGGCGAGTTCTCCACCTACGGAATTCGCGTGATCGAATTCACCGAGTGGCACTGGGAGGCCCGCTACGACCCGATGATAAAGGTATTCCCGCGAATGACCAAGTGTACCTTCCACATGTTTGGTACCTCCGGAGACCTGCAGAAGCATGACGCCGTCTGCGTGCTCCCAATCAACATCATCAACGAGAAGATCTACGTGTTCCTCTGGTTCTGGTTCGTCATCCTGTCCATCATCACGGGCCTCTTTCTCATCTACAGGATGATCACCATCGTGTCCAGCTCCGTACGCTTTAACATCATGTACAGCCGAAACCGCAACGTCCAATCCGAGAACCTTCGAGAAATCATCGAGAAAATTGGCACCGCCGACTGGTTCATCTTCTACCAGATCAGCAGGAACGTCGAACCAGGGCATATGAAAGAGTTTGTCGACCACTACGCCCAGGAACTGAATGTTGACGACAAGTCGGACAAGCGGAAGCTCATGGACAAACATTGAGAGATTTGGCTGCTGGGTCGTCGCTCTATACTGCCCAAAAACTGCGCATAGGGAGTGTTCCTTCGTAACAACTTTATTCCATAGGGAGTGTTCCATCTTCAAATTTGTTTAATAGTGTGGTGTTGATGAGAGATGAATTGTAAGTGAATGAATGGGCTGTCAACGGAAAGCGTGCTATTCAAGGCTACAAGCAAGGCCGTGCTTCCGGCATCTCGTCGCCCAGGCCAGTTCAAGTCACGAGGCAACGCTTCGTAAGTGCATCAGTGCATGGTCGATGGTAAAGGGGCATCTTGTTCACAACTGACAAATGTGATAGCCCGATTTGCTGTATTGTAAGAGTGGGTTCTATGAAGCTTGTTGGTTGTGATGTTTCTGCTCTTCTCGGCGTTACTGGTATATGTACCACGTTCGTCACTATTGAACTGTGGGACAATTGTTTAGCAATCAGTATCATATAAGCAATTATTAAGCGGACGTGTCCACCAAAAAGTGTTTCATTGTATTAGCATGTAACAAGATCAAGAGTCAGAATTAAGAGGTATATAGCCCATAACATCTGCGGATGTTCGAACGTAGCTTATTCACGTTACCATCATTTGCAGCTGTTACAAAGTTTACAATAAATTTCGGTTTCATTTCATAGTGAAAATAGGAAACATAGACTAAGGAACAATTTTCGCCCTGCATTTCAGCAGCCATGAAAAGTTGGCGTTATGATAACGTGGAACATCCCACGATGTTGCTCAACGTGCTATCTCCGGGCGTTTCTTCGTGCAGCTGCTAGATGCAGTGAAGCTAATCGTAGTCGCAGACATTCCGAGTGTTATCGACGAGAGTTTGTCATCGAGAGGCTCTATCTTTCCCCCCACGAGTGACCGTTTTCGCTGAAGGGCTTTTGAAGGACTTATGTAGATGTCAATAGGATTTTGCCTCTGCCCACGAGATGGCACCACGAAGTAGACATGTGTGCTGCAGGGAAATGCAGCGCACAGAGCACATACGTTTGTACGTTAATCTACTGAACTGTCTGTGTGTGTGTGTCCTTGGGCAGTTGTCGTGCGCCCTGACAGGAATGAGCTTTGTTGAAAATTAGTGACACTATATGACTGAAGTGTCTCTCTTTGTGACGCGGCTAGGAACGTTGCACTAATGTCGACTATGCATAATACAAGTACCAGGCTGTCATTTCGACAGTGCGAAAGCTTGCGTTATTAACAATAGATTGCGTTGAAAGTGTCTAGAACTTTTTCATATATTCGAATTCAGAAGAAAGCTTTCAAAACACAATCTTATGCCTCTGACACAGATATAATATTTTTCTTCGCATGGAAGCAAACGGAGAAATCAGTACGTGGTGTAACTGCTGCGCTAACGTTGACTCGCAGAGCTTGACTTTTGACAACGTGCTTTGAGTAAAAGATATAAAATTAAATGGATATTTTACGCAGTACACCGAAAAACGAATTAATTGCTCATATGGCATTGTAGCTTGCCTACAATATAGTCACCCGTTATGGAGAAAGAGACACACGCCTTCCAGTGCCATTACTAAAAATGAAAATTGGTCATATATGACATTCAGTAAATTGCTGTGCTGGTGGGCAAGCAAGTTAATATTCCTGAAGTAAGGAATTGAACACGTAACTTAAGTCACACGCCAGCAGGCGCGGTTGAAATCACTCTGCAGCTATGCAGACACAATCACTGTTAAGAAAGGGAAATAAATAAACGGGAAAGACAGGGAGGTTAACCTAGAAGAACTGGTTTGCTATCCTGTACATTGGTGATATAATAAAGGTCGAAAAGGGGATAGACTTTTGGAGAGATGAAAACAAATTACGAAAGAAGAAAATACGCATGCACATCCATGCAGGGCGTTGCGATCCCAGTCGTTCGGAGAGACCGGTTGCACGCAAGAAGCGCAGGAGCGCCTTCACAGTTAGCCTTCTTCTGCGACATACCACTGTCAAAAATACAGCTTTTGAGCTTAGCTGTTTGCTTCTTACACTCTCAATCGCAATTTATTCGAACGAGCGGCAAGGTTTCAGCTGTGGGAAATGAAATAAGGAGATGACGTAAGGACCTATATTCGAAGCCATGTGGGCATATTCTATACATATCTATGTATATATAGTTTCATTGCTCGGACATTCCATATCGAAATATAAACAATGAATGCAAAACGTTGATGGGGAAAAAGGGGAGAGAGGCTTCGTTGTGTTGTTTGTCTTTTTTGTCGCCCTCTCATCATGATGAGCCTGACTTTCTGGTGACCCCTATTGATGATGTTAGGCTGTACGAAATAAAGCGCACAAAGGGAAACGAATGGCATCCTCCGGAGGCTCGGGACCGTTACTGAAGGTAAGAAACGTAGTGTGCCATTATGTAGCGATATGGTGAGGTCGAGTAGCCTTTTCGTGTGCTCATATCAACCTCCGGCACAGCTTCGATTGTCGCCAAAGACTACTAGTTTTTGGCAAAAATCTGCAATTTCCTATGGTAATAGTCAAGAATCTACACTGTGGCCCCTACAAACGGTCACCCTGGTAAGCTTTTATCACTTTATCAGTCTCGCACTAGCTCGGAATCTCTATTTCAAACTCGAGTCAGGTTCATGCACCATTCCTAATATGGATCTATGCATCATTCCGAACGATGTATAGTTGCATGGAGTGAGGTGTGTTCACAAAAGACACCTGTAAGCCACAAGAGGAAGCACTCATGTACGCATACAAAAAAAGTGTTTCAGCAGCTGATAGACTTCAAGAAGAAAATAACTTTATTTTATGTGCTACGTATTCCAAACCACCGTGGAGCTGAGATATCAGTTTCTTTAATGTTTTTAACAAGTAAGAAAAAAGAAGGAACTACGATGTTATTCAGTGGGGTTCGTTGTTAACAGGTGGCGTGATTATCGGCAGGTCTCTAACGGCACCGAAAATGAATTTCCGATGCTTGTTGGCTACGGCGAATTCCGCAGTTAACTTGAGTCAAAGCGTATGAGCTTCAATAGTTTACGCTTCACTACCCCGCAGCAGAGAAACAACCACTCACGCCTGCCGTTTCGAGCGAGTTTTGTCCTAATTTACAAAAAAAAAATGACAATAGTATTTAAACCTAAAGCTGACTTTCCTTCTTAAGAAAGGAACCCGATAAGAAAGCTGCCACACATATTGGCATAGGCGCACGCGAACGTTTTCTTATACGGTATCAGTAAAAACATTATCGCTGTTTAGATCAAATTGGTCTCTGGAAGCGATATCAATAATCGGGCCCAAACCAGCCGATTATCGGTATTTGAAGATATGCATAGAAAGAATTGATCCCAGTCCAACTGCTCGTTTCTCCATTGACTGCACGTAACTTGTGACAAGCCGACATCGCAAGCACCACCAGTTGGCAACCAACTATGCATGTTTACATAGTGCACGGCACCATAAATAGCGCCTGGACGTGTGGGCCAGACACCCCACTGACCTTTAGAAAATGCTAAATCTTTCCGGTATACGAGCGTGCCCTTCTTACCCTCTTTACAGCGTGCGTCTTCGAGTGCGGTGTCGTTTTCCTCACTCTTATCGCCGCCTCGTACACGACACAAGAAAAGCCCCTGACCAGCTGCCGCCGAAGAATTTTCCTCATCTTTGCCAGGATTAGTGCGGCCGGTCGCATGAGCCACATACGTTGTCCCGGAGAAAGCACTTGCGCTGTTTCTTCAAACTCTTTTAAAGACGATAGTCTTTCTTAGCGACCTTCGACGGAAAAATTTTGGTCTGTCTGTCTGTCTGTCTGTCTGTCTGTCTGTCTGTCTGTCTGTCTGTCTGTCTGTCTGTACATTTGTCTGTTTGCATCCCTTAACGATACCCCAAACAGCACCAAGCGATGCCCCAAACGGCCGACCCCATCCGCAGTGCCCTCCAAGATTGCTCAAGCTTCAGCGTGCATACCTCTGCGATTGTGAATCAAAAAGCAATTATTGCGCATATTTGAGGCACTATAACAACACGTCAATATGTGTGTCTTCTTACTAGAAAAGACATATATAAGTAATTCTGAGCACCGTAGTGTTTATCACGTTGCGCTGATCATGCAACGCTTGCACGAAAAGGGAAGTGTACGGTTTGCTAAGACGACACGGTGGTGGCACCTACCCGTCGCCTTGCGTTGTACACCTTATCACCTCCGAGACTTCGTTTTCCAAGATAACTGCCAGATAGCGCTCATGTCTCACGTGTGACGTGACATCATGCGCTCGTTCGCCTCCGCTGCACGCTCGAGGCACTCTAACGGAGCGCCTCCTTTGTAGAAACACATCTTAGGGGCATGGAACAACCACCTAACAATCCGGACTACACATGGGAATATTGTGATAGAACAGGAGGCAGCAGAAAGGGGGGTGGTATTGGGACATTCATTCATAAAAGTACAGAAGGGTCAAGCAGGAGTGCAAGGAACATTTATGACTAAAAGGGGAAGTGGCAGGGCAAATTACGCTCCTGCGTTTTGTATACTTGTGGACAGGGGCGAAAGCCTAAAAGGAAAACCAACAAATGGTGCGGTGCATGGAAAATGACATTGACGGGTTAGGAGAAGAGTGCGAGGTAATTATATTGCCCCGCCGCGATGGTCTAGTGGCTAAGGTACTCGGTTGCTGACCCGCAGGTCGCGGGTTCGAATCCCGGCTGCGGTGGCTGCATTTCCGATGGAGGCGGAAATGTTGTAGGCCCGTGTGCTCAGATTTGGGTGCACGTTAAAGAACCCCAGGTGGTCAAAATTTCCGGAGCCCTCCACTACGGCGTCTCTCATAATCATATGGTGGTTTTGGGACGTTAAACCCCACATATCAATCAATCAATCAGGTAATTATATTATGAGATTTGAATGTGCACATAAAAGATATGGATGGATATATTGAGCCATCAGGCAGAATGCTAATGGATATGCGTGAAAGGCATGATTTAATCATTTGCAACTGTGCCGAGAAATGTGAAGGGCAGATATCGTGGGAGGTGGGAAGGCTGCAGTCGACGATAGATTACGCAATAATGTCACGTAGGATGTATGATCGGCTAAGGGTGATTAACATAGACAAATATGGGTCCAGAAGCTTAGGTGGTGATCACAAACGTATCAAGTTGAGTTCTGTGGGAGAAATGAAATTCGAAAAGTGGCATTACGAGCAATCCCGTGGTAATATTTATCCAGAAAGACAAATAGAAATAGCAACTAAAGAGATTGAGAAAATAGTCAGCGACGATACCGAAACAGAGTGGACGTACACAAATCTAACTCGATTGTTTGAGTTTGAGCTTGCTAAGGTACGAGTAAAATCAACCTGGAAAAGCAATAGTAAGATGTCAGGAAGTTAAGGGAGCAATAGTAAGACGTCAGGAAGCCTCCAGAGAACACAGGTATGTTAACAGAGGGGTGAACCGGAAAATGATGTAAAAAAAATGGTATAACTATTTGAGCTGCAGAAGGAAAGCGTCCGATTTGATCAGTGACAAGATTAGAAGAAAGGAGGCCCACTGAATGGCAGAAGTAAACAAAAAGAATAGAAAGGCAGCTGCAAAGTTATGGAACCATCTCGATTCTCTGAGTATTAAGACAAGCATGAAACAGAGGTTTATAACTACAGATCAAAGCGTCAGACT